AACAAACAGATCATGCTGTAAGATAGTTTCAACAGCCATACCTCAGCAAGATGTTAAGTACAGAAATGGGAAGAAACTACTCACCGAGATGACAAAAGTGGATGAAACATGTTTATATGAAGTTTATCAGTAACTGAGAAGGACAGAATTAATCCTTTAATGAATAATTCTCCCTCTCTCACTCACCCACACTGCCTGAAGGTGCATGTTACAACATGCAACAACCAAATTGTTCTGTATACGCTGCAAATCATAGAAAATGATACATTCAAAATGATCTCCACTAACAACCTCAAGTTATCGAGTTCCTTCAGCCCCTTGGGTCTGTACCAATCAAAAAAACAGCTAACAACATTAATCCCAACCAGCCAGCATTCTATTTCCATGAATGTATCGAGGCTGCAGAGGAACTGTTATGCTCATCCTTGTCATAAAATTATTCTCCGTGTAAAAACCAAAAGAACTGCAGATGCTGTAAATCAGGAACAAAAACAAAGTGCTGGAAAAGATCAGGTCTGGCAGCATCTGTGAAGGAGAAAACAGAGTTAACGTTTCGGGTCCGGTGACCCTTCCTCAGAACCGGACCCGAAACGTTAACTCTGTTTTCTCCTTCACAGATGCTGCCAGACCTGCTGAGCTTTTCCAGTACTTTGTTTTTGTTCATTATTCTCCATTTCTTCACATTACAGGAGTTAACATTTCTTTCTTTGTTTTTTCTTCAGTCCAGCAAGAAACATTGTGTATCTCTTTCAAAATTTTTTTCAAATTTCTACAAAGGGCTTGATGTTCCTGTCGACCTTCCCTAGAGCACAATCATGTTAGTTTCCAAGTTCTCCTCTGTTGGATGCCAGTGATCAAAATTTGGAATACACATTCAGACCAGACACTGACCAATCTAGAATATAGATATGATCAGAGAATGACAAAGGGAGAAGTGCATCAATCCTCACTTACAGGTCCTGACACCAATGGCATTAGATAAAGACTCATTCATGTTGAGCAGCAGAGATTAGAAAATTCGAACGAACTCCAGCAACTTCTAAAAGTGACATGTTCATTTTAAAATGATACTCCTGCACTGTGAAATACAATGACAAATAATGAGGAGCAGATTGACATTTCATGCCAGAGACTGAATAAATTCCAAGTTCACTATCAGCCCGGTACTGATGAAAACTCACTTGACCCATGCTGATGCTCTGGTCGAGAGACTGACTCTTGCAGAAGCACATCCACGCTTTCTCAATATATGAAAAACTGATTTACAGTACATTAATCACACCTCATGAAGAGTATCAGATCATGGCATGCAGAGCTAGAAACACAAGGAGACCTACAGAAACAGTCAGTGTGACATGGATCAGTACCAGTCTTTAAAGTTATACGGACCAGAAGCATGCAAGAAAACTCGCTCATAGTCAGTCATTGAATGATGAAAGGAAAATAATGAAATTTAGCTTTACACAGATTTCCAGATATGGACAAATGTAAATTGACTCTCAAACTCACCGAACACACAGAGAAGAGGTTAGTGTTAGATGTCTGTTTGTTACAGTGTTGAGCAGTGACTGACAAAGTCTACTGTGCACTCAAATTAAAAAAAAAACTGAGATTGAATGCAATGAAATTAAGCCTCATGGTAAGGACAAATGTCAATGCAAAATTACTCCCTCAATCACACAGGGTCAGTGAATATCTACAGAGTTTATGCTACGTTCAGACACAAAACCACAAATGAACATGGAAGGAGAATGAAATCCAT